ACAGTATGACCTCCTAAAAACACCCTTAATTACTGCTCTAGGGGCTTATAATTCAAAAACGGCATGATGAAATTTTTTTATATTATCAACTTTTGATAAGCATGATAAGACGCAACTTTTGGCAAAGTTTAAAAACATTCTGTACATGGGGTTCAGAGCCACCTTAAATTTTCGAAAAATTAAAATTATACAGAAATATCAATTATTAAAAGAAACTGCGTTGACTCTATAAGACTTTGTTTGTCATGATGAGTTGATGCACATTGCTGAGTATTTCTGGATCTTAGTTGAAGAACTGAGTTGATCCCAAATGATCGCTCAAGTTTACACTTCCAAACAGTTCATTCCATATAGTCCGGACACTCTTTTGCGAGAATTCTTTTTATGCTTTCAAAATGAGCATTGTAAAACTTTTCTCTTTCGCCAGGGCCGTCTAGCTGTTGGTGTGATAGCCTGGCAAGGTCGTCTGGTAATTCAAACAGTTCTTTTCCTGTCGACATGGCGAGAACCTGTGAAGAGGTGGAAACTAAGTTCAGTCCCACTTCATCGAACTGTATGTTAACAATTGGGTTACACTCATTTATACTTTGAATACAAGCAAAGGAAACTTCAAAAAAGAAAATTCAGAGATGTCTGAAGCCTGGCACGATGCCTCCACGGCACCATAGTCGGCATCTCCCCGTCAGGGAAGAGTTAGAAAATATATAAATTTAGATTTATATCTAAATTTATTAGATTTATGTCCCATTTCGATGAAGTTGAAATTGTGCATCTTGCCACAAATCCATAAGGGATTGTTCAACTCCGGGGTTCAACCCCTCTCGATTTTCTCACTTTGCTGATATTTTGCAGTATTTTACTCGTCCATCCCCAACCCTGGTACGTTTCATGAACAATGCCATATATCAGTTTAATTTCGATAACAAGCCCCAATGTAGCCCCCCTTGAATAGAAGTCCACAAGTGTCTTACCTGTGTCATGCTAGCACGCTCTAAGTAATACACATCATCAAATGCTCTAGCAGCATTGGGTGCTACCACCAGTATCCCATGATTACACATGAACAACACTGACTTGTCTCCAAGTTGCTTTGCTATGCGCGTGCCTTCTTCATCATCTGTGCTGAGCCCGCTGTAATCTCGGTCGTAAGCGATGCGGTTATAAAATAGACAAGAGTTCTGGTGGTACATTTCAAGTTTGGGATTTTTCAAGCTTCCTGAAATTAAAGAAACGTTACTAAACCAGATTGAGAATGCACATACAAAGGCTGCTAACATGGAGCAAACACCTGTTTTGTTTAACAGGTGCTACCTGGAGTACATAGTGAATCATGAATAGTGAAGGAGGACCCAGTGGCCTCATGACTGGTAAAGGACGCGGTGGCTTCATGGTTAGTGCGCTGGACTCCAGATCAAGTGGTCCGGGTTCGAGCCCTGACCGGGGACATTGTGTTGTGTTCTTGGGCAAGACACTTTACTCTCACAGTGCCTTTCTTCACCCAGTTGTATAAATGGGTACCGGCGAGCTTAATACTGGGGGTAACCCTGCGATGGACTAGCATCCCATCCAGGGGGAGAAGAAATACTCCTAGTCATTTCATGCTACAGAAACCCGCGGGATAAGCTCAGGCCTGATGGGCTACTTGGCTCGTTTGCAGACTTGACCTTTATACAATATCAACGATGCTTTTGTTTACTACTCTTCAGCCCTGCCAATTTATCTTCGTTCAGACTGCAATCCAATATTTAGATCATGCACAAGAAAACCTTTATTTCCTCAAAAATTCTCTCTTTAACCCTTCGGAAATCGATTTAATTCCAACAAACTCTGAAGAAAGTTTCCAACAGTTTCCAACTAAGAGAGGGTCTTCAGCGGACACTCGCGGAGAGAGGAGAAAAAAGGGCTACAAACAGGAGCCATAATCGGGGACGGAGACCGCAAGTCTCGGGATTCGCGCGCACCTATGATATGGGACAATTTTTCTATTTTTAGAACAAATTGCGCC